TATATATATATAAATAGATAACTTAAAGTTTGGTGTTTAGCTAAAACACAGTGCCACTAAAGAAGGTAAAGCTGTTGTTAAAGCTAAAAGAAGCAGAACACTAGCTAAAGCTAGAATAAGCAAAACACTAGCTAAAGCTAGAATAAGCAAACACTAGCTAAAGCTAGAATAAGCAAGGCACTAGCTAAAAGCTAGAATAAGCAGGACACTAGCTAAAGGCCAAAAGAAGCAGGCACTAGCAAAAGGCTAAAAAAAAATCAGGAGACTATCTAAAATCTAGAATGAGCAAGGCACTAGCTAAAAGTTAAAATAATCAAGACACTAGCTTAAAACTAAAAGAAGAAAGTATTAGCTAAAGACCAAAACAAGCAGATACTAGCTAAAAGCTAAAAGAAGCAGGCACTAACCAAAGGCCAAAATAATCAAGCACTAGCTAAAAGCTAAAAGAAGCAGCACACTAATAAAAGCTTCAAGAAGCAGAAAAATAACTACAAGCTAAAAAAACAGGGCACTGTCTAAAAAACAACAACAGTAGCTGAAAATGAAAAAAAAAAGCTAAACTTCTTTAACTAAAGCCTAAATAAGATGAACTTTAATCAACATCTTAATGAACTAAAACATGAGCTAAAAGCTTAAAGAACCATAAAACACACTAAAAGAGCAGGATACTAGCTAAAAGCTAAAACCACAAACAGTATGTTAGCCAACAGCTAAAGAAGTTGAACACTAGCTAAAAGCTAAAGGTTTCAAAAGGCTGACTAAATGTTAAAGATAGCAAAAAGCTAGCTCATAGCATCAAAAGGACAAAAATCTAGAAGAATCAAAGGCTAACTAAAAGTGAAAAGTAGCAAAAAACAGCAGCTAAAAGAAGAGACTAGTAGCCAAAAGCTAAAAGTAGCAATAGGCTTTTTAAATAAAGCAAAATGCTATCTAGTATCTAAATGTAGCAAAAGGTTAACTTAAAGGTAAAGGTACCAAAACTGTGGGTAAAAGTGTCAGAAGGCTAGCCAGAGGCTCTAAGCTAAAAGAAGCAGTGGTATGTAAAGCTGGAGCAGATGAAGAATTAATGTAAATAAAGTCAAATATTTTGAATAGTACAAAAGTTACAGAAACCTAAAGGCACGGTACTCTTCTGCTGAATGAGCCGAACATTTGGTATAAGAACAGCTAAAATATTTCAAAGTCTGCAGGAGTTAGATTGTCAAAACCACAGGGAAGAAGAAAAGTAAAATAGTGGAGTGACGCTGACTCATACCATCAACAAAATATTTACTGCAGTTTATGACAATAAATTTTAGATTTTATTCCATTTTTTTACAGATGACTCTGAAACCAAAGATAATTTCTGGTGTTTGTGCTTCGGCTCATTAATTTACCATCTCAGCTCAGCAGGAAGCTCCGATCTGAAGGATTCAGTTTGTTTGGTTCTGAGAACAGAATCACTGTGGTAGTGTGCACGCATGCACGCACGCACACACACACACGCACACGCACAGAGCGTGTGAGTCATGCCTCTGATAGAGGTCAGTGGTGAAGCTAATGGTTTGTTGCCAGTGACTGATGGACACCAGCAGCACTACATTAAGTCTGAATGAGCTGCAGCCGTCCCTCTGAAGGTCGAGCTGCTGAGCAGGAGCTAAAGGAACGCTTGATGTTTGTCTGAGGACTGAATCAGACCCCCTGATGGGTCCTGCTGGGTCCTCCTAAGGCACCAACAAACTGAAGAGCTGCAGCTGCAGATTAGTGACAACTAACTCTGGGAGAAAATCCTGATCCAGCCCTCGTGTCTGTGAATTTATCTCTGCATGGTCCTTCAATAATCTGAAGAATAAAAGAAGTGTGAAGATTATGAAGGTCTCCAGCAGATGAGGATGTCTGCCGGAAACCAGAGGGAAGCATCATCTTTCATCTGTTTATCTCCTGAAAGAGAAGGATTCATATCTCTGGTTAAACCCTTTGTGTGGGTTCGGACTAATTTAAGTTCCAGACATTTCATTAAGAATATCACAAAAAATAAACATTTTATCATCTAAAAACTTTACCAGAGTACAATCGTTTCACCAGAGACTTTAGTTCATGTTTTATCACCTGCAGGATCATAACTGTAGCACTAGTCTTTTCTAAGAAGGCTATAACTCTAAGTACAGAAGAGTATACAGTAACTCTGAGTACAGACAGCAACTCTATTCACTGTTACACAAATCCTAGCGTATCAGTTATTTCTGAGTATAGAAGACTATAACTCTGAGTACAGAACAGTATAACTCTGTATGAGAGAACTATAACTTTGAATATAAATGAGTAAAACTGAGTATAGAAGACTATAACTCTGATTTTAAAATAGTATAAATGAGAATAAAGCAGTCTACTCTGAGTATAGAGGAGTATATCTCTAAATGTAGAGTTGAATAATTACTTATAGAGGAGTATAATCTTCAGTACAGACAAGTTCATCTGAGCGTAAAGTAGTATAACTCTGAGTACAGAGTAGAATATCTCTAAGTTTAAAATAGTATAACTCAGTATAAAGCAATCTTTATGAGTATAGAGTATGACTAAGTGTAGAGGTGAATAATTACTTATAAAGGAGTATAACCTTCAGTATAGAGAAGTTCATCTGAGTGTAGAGTAGTATAACTGAGTACAGAGTAATATATCTCTAAGTTTAAAATAGTATAACTCTGGCTATAAAGCAGTTTTAACCCTGAGTACAGAGTAGTGTAACTCTGAGTACAGAGAAGTATTAACTCTCAGCTGCATAAATGTTGTCAAAGTCCAGAAGAAGAGCTGACATCCTGTCTATTTTAACATTTCTTCATTGTCTTCTTGTGTGTTTTAGAATCTGTGGTCCTAGTCCTCCTCCTTTCAGACCTGATTTTACCTTCGCTCTCTAGATCCCTCAGGTCCTCTGGAAAAAGTTCTTCCGATTGGACCTAAAGTTAGAACCAGAACCCACAGTGAGCCATCTCACCTGTGGACCTGAGATCAGCTGAGTGTTGATCAGTTTGGCTTTTAGTTAAAATATATACATTCACGGCTATTTTAAATTGTTTGTTTGTTACACTTGTATGAAAGGTGCTTTCAAAATAAAGTTTGGCTGAATTTGACTAAGATGAGGTGAGGGTGCGGAGGGTGCTGCAGCACCCCCTGATAGATGCCAAAGGACATGAATGTCCAAACCTAGTTAAAGAACCAGTTATTAAAACAGGCCGTCTTGTTGAGACTCAGTTACAACCACATCAAATTTCAGCTCAATGTCTGCGTCGGCCACGTTGAATCAGTCGATGCCAAATGTTAACGAGCTGTAGACCTACAGTACATGTAATGCTAACATTCTGACGGGGATAATTACAGATTTTTGCAGTTTTATCTGTTTTTAAATTAGATTCATCCACCTTCAGGTTCTTCTGACTGAATGATCGTGGAATTTATTATTTTCAGTCGTCTTCCGGCTTCTGCGTTTGAAACCCAAAACAAACAACCATTTCTGACGCAGAATACCTCTGTAATAATAACCTGCGGAGTGGAAAAGTCTTTTCACATCATTAGACAAAAAGTTCCTGAGAAACACAGCGAGTGTTTTTAAAATAAATCTGATTTTAACAGCAGAAATGACGCCTCTCTCTCCCTTTCGTGACCCTTACTGACTGTCTGAGACGTATTTTCTGGCTGCGAGGAGCTGAGTGTAGCTGTAGGTGGACTGCTGTAATTATTTCCACTGTGTGGGAACGTTTAAACATAAAACCATTATATGTCGTCAAAATGATCCAGGTAATTAGCTCTTTAACCTCTTTTTGTGTCATAACTGCAATGCATTCTGGGCCATCAAACGCTAGGCCAGACTTTCCAAAAGGCTTATGGGGTATTAGCCCCAAACTCTGAAGTTTACAGTAGTGGTGTGTGATGCTGCAAAATTTGGTATCGATCCGATACCAAGTGAATACAGGTCCAGTACTGCTGATATAGATACCGATACTTTTAGATAATTGCGGTGAATTTTGACGACGTTTAAGTGTTTTGTGATTTTTCCTTTAGATCATTTATTAGTTTAAAACCCAAGATGGAATTAGGCAAAGTTTATAGGTAAATAAAAATACTTTAGTATAATAACAGTTTTTTCCTGAAAAAACAGAACAGTAACAAAACAATTTTCCCCATACCTTGTGATGGCTGGATTTTTTTCCCCCTTAAACAAAGTGCACAAAATGATCACTTAAGAATAAATTAAAACGTTGTGTTCAGAAACTATGATAATTAAATCACAATTATCACTTCATTGCACTCCTTATTTTGGATTTTTTTTTTCTTAAATAAACAAACTGTACAACGTTATCACACCACAACAAATGCTTGCTTGTCTGGCGCCACTGAGTCACGTGATGCTACAACGTCAACACACTGTGGGTAGAGGCGGAGCAAAGTTGCCTGCTCTGTGCTGGGACAGGAGTGGCACTAGAGTCGGCTGCATCTTTGATGAAACCGCAGCACAGCATACAGGAGAGAAACTGAACCTTAAGTATTGATCGCATTACACTGGTATTGATCAATATCAATACCATTGTTGGTATCGATATTTGGATTGATCCGCCCACCACTAGTGTACAGGGCCCAAAACTTTAATATAATCTGTTGGAGTCAACTCTGTCTGTTAGTAAAATATCTCATAAATTGGGAGTGCGCTTCTTGTGGGTCTGAGTTTGTTTGTGGCTCCTCGGACCGATGGAGTCCTTTGGATGAAGGACGAAACATCTCAACAAAGAAGGAACCGTCCAGATGACCTGACTGAACTTTGTTGGATTTTTTTTTAACCTGGATTATTGAGCATGAACTTTGATACTTCATAAAAAAGGTTTTAATAAAACCATCAGTAATAAACATTTGTAATTTGTTTACATTCAATACATTTAGGGTCCCGAAAGTAGTTATCCGAAAAAAAAAAAAACATCTAAGGATGAATATTGTTGTCGTTCTGCAGCAGAGGCATTAATCTCCGTACCTCAGGTAGATTTTTAAGACAAATATTTTTTAAAACAGGTGTTTTCTCCTGCAGGTGAAGTACAAGAAGGACTTTGAGGAGAGTAAAGGCCGAGGCTTCAGCATGGTGTCCGACACGCCGGAGATGCAGAGACTCAGGAAGACCCAGGAGCAGATCAGTATTGTATGTTCGCTTGGATTGTGTACATGTGTGCGTGTGTGAGGGTGCATTGGTCGGTGAGCTCAGGATGTATTTAACACAAACACAAAAATGCGAAGAGGAGCGTCTATTACAAGACTTACGGTAAGGGGAACCATTTTATTTGCTTCGTTGGATCACAGAAGCTGTTTTATTTGTCACTTTTATCACAAAGATTGTTTTCTAAAACCTGTTTTTATTATTTATTCAGAGTTTGTTTTTTTCAGTACAACGAATCAGTAAAATCGTACACCGATAAGCGACGCCACTTTCTTTAAAAGCCAACTTCAGAGTTTCTTATTTACAACTCTACAGTCATTGCATCCATTTGAGTAGCCTGAGTTTTAATGTTTTGTCATGTTCTCTTATGCACTTACTTTTTGCTATTCAATTATTAGTGCATTTATTTTATTATTATATGCACAATAAATAACCATAAATGTAAAGTCCTGCAATGTGTGATTTTGTGTGTTTGGGATTTAAAAAAAACGTGTGAACAGACGATCCACCTGCGTGACCCTCAGCAGACGACCACAAGGTACAGTGAAGTGTTTTTGTTTTTAAATACATTCTGTCATGATTAGGGTTTTTCAATGTTTAGTTTTCTGTTTCACGCTTTAATTTCATGTATATGTAGATTAACTGAATTGCATGCGTATTCATCAGTCTGTGAGAGATTAAGAGTTCTTGGACAGAGGATGTGCAGAAACAATCAGACATAATTCAGGTCATAAGAAACCCAGTTCAGGTTCTGAGAAGACCTCGGGTTCAGAGGTCGCTTCTTCCTGCTACTATATTATTTTATCTAAGTGTTGTTAAATGCATGTTTATTTACGTTAGGCAATTGTTTTATTTTGTTACAAGAAAAAAATGCTTGATGGTCTAAAATATGAATATCAGCCATTGGCTGCCCTGATTTCTGAGATCTGTAGAAAAACACAATTCTGTCAAACTCCAGCTAAAGTCTGAAACAAAAATAATGTATTTAAAAAATAAAACATGGTGTGGGCGATCAGTTAGCCCTCAGAGCATCTGTTGGGGATGACACTCAGCTACTAGCACACTAAATCTTACCTCATCGTCTGTAAAACCGAACGAGTTAAACATTTTTGTGTCTGCTAATGTGGTAGCCATCTTGAATCTGGTTCACTTCAAAGTTAAGCACATCCAAATATGACTTTCCGAAAGTTTTTTTAAACCCATCCAGTTTTTTTTACATAAAATATTTTGCTAACAGACAAATGAACACATGCACAGGACTTTACATGATCACCCACCCTTCTTAGGAGTGGGCGTTCATGTAAAGTTTGTTTATTTCCGAGCACTTGCAGTCCTGTTTCTAAATTTAATGAACACGTTCCATCACTGCTCTGGATTATCGCCCCTAAATATATTTTTTACTCTTCTCTTTCTTTTTATAATATTTACAAATGTTTTCCCTCTTTTATGATTTTCCGTCTGTTCTGTTTACCTGATTTATGGTTTTATTCTGTTTTTCTTCAGCTCGGCTGTAATTACGACACCAACACTTCACCTCTCGCTCCAACGCTGCCACGTTCTGCTGCCCACTCACTTTCACTTCAGCTCTGCTCAAGGTTGACCCGGTGGAGGAGGGAGGTGAGTGGGAGGCTGAATAACCTGATTTCTCTCTGGCAGATGAAAACAAACCGATAAACTTTTAATTATTTCTCTTGTTGCTGCTGTTTTTAAACACAACAAACAGATTAGAGATTTTTTTTTTTAGCTGCATGTTAAACTGATCCAGGCTGATGGGAACTGTAGTTCCAGGTTCGTAGTCTCTCCTGTAAATCTGGTGCATTATGATATTTTAGAATAACGTTGAAATGTCTTTGTTTATCTGAGAAAATACTCCTCAAGCTGAAGTGTTTTGGGGTTGTGCTTAAGAATGGTAAAACATTAAATTAAGATTTTTGAGAAATCTGCTTCACACTGAAGGAGGTTTTCTAAATTTGCCACGTTGTGGAGAGCGTAGCAAGGTCATTATTATTCATTATTAATATTATTAACCTTTATTTAAGCAGGCAAATCCCATTGAGATCACAGATCTCTTCTGCAAAGGAGGCCTGGGCCTGAAGGCAGCCTAACATGGTCATTTTTGTATTTATACTTATAATTACTATTATATGAAACTCAGATGGCTTAGATGACATACTTCATAAGACAGTTCTGTGAAATGGTCGCACAGCTCAAGCCATCTTTCTCCTCCCTCTGGTTGTTCATAAATCCAATGAAGCCAGCCACTTCACGCTTAGATGTGAGTTTTCAGAAATGAAGTGGGCCGAGCGGAACCAAAAGAGACGTGAAGAACTCAGCTGCGTGTGGAGCGTGATGCTTTAAACGTGTGTCAGCCGTCGCCCTTGTGTCATTTACTAAACTTAAACTCACTTCAGCTATCCTCTTTGTGGTTAGCTATGTTTTAAACCAACTACAAAGTTACAGTTGGTCATCATCAATATTCACCTGTAATAAATCTGTTGTTATTTAATTCCACGTATGGGCGGTCACACACTATTGTCATCAGATAATCACATTACTGAGCCACTGCACAGCAGTTTGTTTATTTTATTCATATGTTGAATATATCAATATGTCTGGCTCTGTTACCCCTCACTCAGCGACACAAAGGCTAGTGTGCCGTCGTCAACCCCCCTCACTGTCTCCGTCCGTTCAGAAGACTCACTGAGGAGGCCAGAACACATGTCAGTCCCAGACTGAGGCATCTTGTGAAAATCTTAAAGTATCCTAGGGGTCTCCTTACCATTGGACATACCCAGAACACCTCCGATGTCCAGGGAGCATCCTTACCAGATGCTTGAACCACCCTGTGGAGGAAACTCATTTAGACCACCTATATATCCACAGTCTGTGTTTTTCTGTCTCCACCCAGAGTTCGTGACCACAGATTAGGGAGGGAACGTAGACCAACCGGTAAACGGAGAGCTTCTCCTTGCAGCTCAGTTCCTTCTTCACCACAAAGTCCGCCTAGAAAATATTAGACAAAACAAATCTGAATCAAGAAGGTGTTGAAGCATCTTCCAAACAATTTAACTCCAGCAACTATAATAGAACATATTAACCTCCTAAGATCCGAACTCTTGCATATGTGGATGCCAGGTTGTCCACATATGTGGATGCCAGGTCCTAGGAGGTTAAAGAGCTGTTCTGTGGGACTTAGTGACACCTAGTGGCTACATTTATAGATTGCAACCAACAAAACCTTTCGTATTGTTTTGTGTTTATAAATAAAATCTATTTTGGCCACAAAGGTCCTTCAAAGACCTCAAGCTACTGTAAGAAGTGGGGAGTTAAACATATTATTTATGCAAGTGAAAATATTCTAAATTTCTACTTATTTATTCTTATTTTTTACTCCGAGAGGCCAGGTTTCCCATCAGCATGATGCATTCCTTCCAGCCCACTCACTTCATGAGCTCGCCTTTGACACTTCATACACACACTTTATCAAACACACTCATACTGTAGCCATAACTGGCTCTGAGGTTTGATTAAGGCCGCCGTGGTGATAAGGTCTAGAGTAGAGGGCTAAATGTAGACGTTAGAAGTGATAAAAGGCACCAGATGAGCTGACGTTCGGTCAACAGACTGTAGAAGACGAGGCAGTTCAGTCGCAGACGGGTAGAAGTTAGAGCAGGAAAACGTTTGAGTAACAAGAACAGTGTTCAAGTAATCCAGAAACTGTGGGAGAGGCCTTGAAGAAGAGCTAGCAAATACTGAGACATCTAACCGATCGGCTCGTTAAAACCAGTTGAAAACTATAACAGACTTTCTGAAGAGAGGCTAAACGTCACATAGAGGAAAGAAGCTGCATCAAAAACCCAAACAGAAGAAAACAAGAACAAATCAGAACATGGAGATTCAAACTCAGATCCAAGGTGAGTTCAGACCTGAAGAATCTATTTTAAAATCCACTCCAGATAAGTTTTTTTATTTATGAGTTTGACCATAAGAATGGAAAAATTCAGCATGATGGAAGACAGAGTCAAAGAGGTGACCTTCATGTGAGGAAGACTGGACAGATGAAGGGTCGAGGCCCAACATAAGATTTGTTTTTAGGTTTCTGGTCAGATTTTAAGCTGTGAAGTTGATTAATTATTTGTTAAACTCCCAGTTTACAGGGTTTTTTTTTTATATATATTTTGAACAATAAGAGAAACTTATTCTAGTTTAAACCCAATTTATCACAGATTAACAGTTTGGACCAACACTGTGTATGAAGGATGAAAGTTAAAAAATAAAATTGGTCAGGAAATCCTTGAGTATGTAAGTTACTAGCAGAGTATCTGTGAGGGTTCTCCATATTGGAAAAAGAAAAGTTTTCTGCATTTTTACATCATCTGATTTTTGGATTATGTAAACAAAAAACTTTGATACAGTAGTTAGTCCAATTGGCTTCGGTAAGCCAAGGTCAGAACACCAAGGTCCCTGCCTTGGGCTGCTGGTCACGACACCCTGCACCTGACTCGTATGACCCCTCCTGCAAGTGGTGGGCCCACCGAAAGGCAAATCGATGTAACTCATTTGGGCTGAGCATGAACGGGCCCCATTGACCCACGTCTGAGTTTCGGACATTGAGGAGTTTGAGTCTCTAGGTTTTATTTACAAGTTAGGAGCGTGAGATTTACCGACAGATACAGCTTCTGCAGTATTGTGGAGTCTGTGCCGGTCCATTGTGGTGAAGAAGGAGCTGAGCTGCAAGGAGAAGCTCTCTGTTTACTAGTCAAGATAAATTCCTACCCTTACCTGTGGTCATGAACTTAGAGTAGAGACTGAAAGAATGAGATTGTGGATCCAGGCGGTCTAACGGAGTCTTCTCTGCAGGGTAGTTGGACTGTCCCTCAGAGATAGGGTGAGAAGTTCAGTGCTCCAGGGGAGACTCGGATTAGAACCGCTGCTCCTCCACATCCAGAGGAGACAGGTGAGGTGGTTCAGGCATCTGGTAAGGA